CCAGCTACTAATTTAGCAGAGCAGGCTTGATTTTATGAGGCCTTTCTTTAATAAGAGATTCAGGGATTGCCACCCATTTTCAACCCATCCTGATGCAGCCAGCACAATACACCCTCTTCCCAGTCTCCTTAGATACTTGCTTTAGGAATTTCACTCAGGTCTGCTCCTAACTTGAGGATCTTTCTGAACTTGGACAGCTTGAAATTAAGATGCCTCCATTACTCCAGCAGCACACACAAATAGCAGAAAGGCACAGGTACATGCTGGGGCTCAGATTATCAAGGCACAAATTTAAGCAGCATTGTTGCAAGTGTCTGACCATGAAAGCCCTTGTTAAGAAAAGAAACAAGTCTTCAGTTCCTGTCCCATCATTGAGTGAAACAACTATGATTGTAATATCAAGGTGGATTTGAATGCTTTGCCATCAGAGTAATTCCATTTGACAGAGATGAGAAATGGGATCTTGTTATATGTTATATATGGCAACACACTTTATTACAGAAATCAGACTGAGCTACAAGAAAAAACTAACACAACATATTGAGGTCAACTGAAATTACTGTGGAAAAGAGGATGAAACTAAAATGACAGACAACACCCAGATGAAAACACAGGATAATTTTCAGTGCATTCTAAGTCTCAGAGACTTATCTGCAAGATTTCTGTCAATCATCCTCAAAGCACTGATCCATCCATCCTGAATCTAGGTATTTTATCATTTTAAGGTGCAATATTGATTCAAGTAGTCACCATGACAGCAATCAGAAAGGCAAAGCTGGTTACTCTGCCAGGAACAAATTTATTGTTGCAATTACAGGAATAAACATTGCTGGACAAAGGCTGAATATATCTGTTTCTTCCAGAGCAGAGCAGACATCAAAGAGACACAAGACAGCAAGGTTCTTATCACTGAGATGGAATGAATAATGCTGGAAAATATATTTTTAAGAAAGGAGATAGAAATGGAAGTGGAAGTCAATTGAAAACTTCCTGCTAAGATTGTCATCCATACACTGGATATTTAAGGTGATGCTTATTCTGAGCAAGCCCTCATCCAAAAAACATGATCAAGCAAGAGCTGGGCAGAGAGCAAGCAGAGCCCCTGTGGGGCAGCAGGGAACTTCAGCCCCCAGAATCCAGAGGAGACAGGAGCTGCACCAGCCTGATGTGGCACAGAGCAATTTAAAGTTGACATCAATCACCTTTTGCTTTTCCCCTCCTTCCCATGCACAGTGCTGTAGGAATCCAGCACATGGATCTCAAACACCCTCTTTTTCCAGACTGTTTTACATTAAAACCTCCCTTTTGTCTCTACCTGGGCACACCTGTACAAATATTGCTGTCTTCGATGGATTTAATGCTTTCTACACATTTACACTTGTTTTAACCTTATTTTTATTCCCTATTCTTTAAGTAAGCTGACCTACTTAATCACTTTCTTTTTCGGCTCCACTGACTACCACTTATTAGTGTCTGTTAATGTCAAAACACACTGCAATTTTTTTATTTTTCTGGCACGTTCTCTGCACCCATAAAGCAAAATAAAATCATCAGACGAGAGCAGGATCAGTAACCAGCTATTCTTAGCCCTTTACATGCAAATCTGTAAACTATTATTGCACTTATTTTTAGTACAAGCTCTCCAATAACTCTGATGTGGAGAATTATCCTCTGATGTGGATGTTAGCATCAATATAATCAAGTTAGCATAATTTTCAGTCAAAATGCATGAAATTAAAGCACTATCAGATTACACTTTGTTTCCATACAATTTAACCTACAGCAAGCAATATTTTGACTTTCATTTTAGTGCGGCAAAGAGCTCCACAAAATTAATTAATTAAGCCTTAAAATCCCTCTCCCCAACAGGAAAGTCTTATTATCTCCATTAAACAGATAGGTAAGCTGGACTCAAACTGTGTCTAATGACTTGCCTGACTCAATGACAAATGCAGGAATAGAGCCAAGAAGTTCACTTTCCCAATTTCTCCTGCTTTATCACTGAAAACCATTCTCTGATTCAGGCTAAGCACTCATGAGCTGCCTCAATATGTGTAGTTAGTTAGGCACATAAACAAACTTCACTGTATTTGTCTTTTGGTCTTCTGCAAGAAAAGCCTCCATCAAGTCATGTTCTAATTAATACAGGAAGATGGTCAATATAATATGTTGACATCAAAGCTCACATTTACTGATAGTATAAGCCATCTCATTAAATGGAAAGAATTAATTATAACAGTTTGTCAGTGTCAAGTTCTGAACTAGAGGCTCCCAGAGCAGTGAATGCATCATTGCACCTTGTTTGAACTAATTTTCCTTTGCTGACAAAGTCAAATATGAATGTGACAATGTTTATGAACTATAAAGCTTTTCTAAATCCATGCATTATTGTCTGACTCAATTTTGCCATGGTAAAAAACCCAATACAAGTGCAGCACCCTAAATTAGACTGGCTGTGAGCAATACAATGTGCATGTAATATCCATGGTAGCCTTCTGAATACATTAGTGTCTTGCAGCAGAATTAATTAAATTGGCATCAAAGATAACTCTATTGCTTCATATTTTCCAGTGAGTAAGGAAAACCCTTCAATGAGTTTAAGATCCCCTCAGGAACAGGAATGTCATTGGGAACTAATTGCTGTTAAAGCAGGCTTGTGCAGCACTGAGTGAGATTTAGAAAGAGCATCACTGAATTGGTGGGACATGGTTGTTAATTCCTGGTGCTCAGGTTATTCCTTGTGCTGAGAGGGACACTCAGAGATGCTCCTCTGAAATGAGAGGGATGGGGCAAGGAGAGACATTGGAGATAGAGAAGGAACTCACACACACCAGGGTATTGATGTGCAACACACTCACCAAGTGCCACACAAATTGACACTGACAGTAAAACTCTCCTCACTGCAGCAGCCATAACATCCCCCTGGGACCTTGTTTGTGGGTGAAAATAAAGTTAACATTGAACATAATCTTCCACAGCACAGAAAACAAGTTTAAATGGTTTTACCTGATGGAGTCTGGGCAGAGCAGGTGCATTTGTAGAGCCTTCAGGCTCCACCTCCTCAAGATTAGGCAAAAGAAGAAGGAAAAGAGAAAATCTACCTTTAATTTTACACAATTACAGGTCATAAACTCAAGACATAACCAAAACCAAACAAATTAATTTTTTCCCCATCCAAATATTTAAATGGGGATAATTCTGTAAGGAAATATGGGCACTGAGAAAATATAAAGACAGCTGCCTCAGCTACAAGACTCTGACTAAGCTTGAAGCTTAGCTTGAAGCTGGATCCAGGGTTTGGGCAGTGTCCTATCTCTGGCCCTTGTAAAATGTGGCTAATTTGAGAAATTAGACTGACATTTATCCCTTCACAGGCATTTATTGGAGTAAAGCTTCCAAAAATCACAAGTGTCAGTGCGTTGAGAGGTTAAAACAGGATCTGCGTGAACATGGGTTACTTCACTTTATGAAAAGAAACCAGTAATGTGGAAGGTGGTAAACAACCTAATTGCAATTCAGAACCTTAATGATATGGTATTTTCACATTACAGAATATTTGGAAACAAACATGTAAGAAACAGGCAAGTCTGCAACTCAGCTCATTGTTCAGTTTCAAAAAAAATCGCAGTTTTGATTTTCCCTGCAGAAAAATAAATTATTTGAGTAGGATGTAGGGGGGGGAAATAATAGGAAAAGAGCATGAAGAGCTCAGAGACCAGCAATGCTGGTGTCTCCCACACAAATTAAAAATAAGATGAGATTTAAAAAAACATAATTAAATCCCTGTACCCTATTCTCACCTCAATCACTGCAATTCTCTAGCACAGCTTCTCAGTGCATTCTTCCTCCCTCTTTCACACTGGAGCTTTTCACTGCCACTCTGAATTATTATCCAGATTACAGAGAGGGTCACAGGGAAATGCTCCACCATCAGCCCAGTGCTGGGCTCACCAATACTGTCAGCAGGCTTGAACAAAATTCTCTGAAACATTGCCACGCTGTGGCAACTCAAAGTATAAGATTTTCTGTTCTCTATTGAACAGCTAAGCAGTTTTCTATTGCTGTAAAATCTGGCTTTAAACTTTATGGAAGATAATGTTAAAAAGAGAAAGATTTCTGGCAAAGAAATAGCTCCAGTTGTAATATAAGAAAAAAATATAAAAAACCCTGAGAAGTAGCATTACATCAGTGTACACAGCTTTAAATTCAGTGATTCCTGATTTCAGCCTGCATAAGCACTCAGTCTTAATATTATCATAAAATATAGTGATTTCTGTAGGAGAGAAAACAGAAACCACAGCTATAGAAAGGGACCTCATGGGATATCAAGCAGTGAGAATAATGAGATCCTCCCAGAAAACAGCCATGCTTTTCCATGCTTCAAAAACAAAATA